ATTAACAAAATACTGTTTGTATAATTATTTACGGAGTAACATTTTTATGTTTATAAAACCATGTTACACGTTTTATGAATTGTGATTTCCGAACGCGACTTTCTTAAGATAAATATTTGACTTCGCGCTTCGTGTTGTTTTAATAGTTTTGTATTTTAGATTTTTAGATTGGTTTTAGTTAATTTTTGCTGAATTTCATAATGATGTCGTTAAGAACTAGCCACACAGTTTACAATAATAGTAGATTTCATGTAAAAGTAAGTAACTATATTAAAACATGAGTTTGGATTTTTTTTCAGTGTGTATATTCATTGTCTGTTGATATTGATTCGTTCTGTTAAACAAAGATTATTGTTTATTTCTAGGGAATGGTGATTAATAGAAAGCACAAAATTAGTGCACGGATTACAGTGGTGTATTCAAAAGTACGAGGAGCAATGTAATTTGCTCCACAGCCAAGGAATCGAAATCTCACAGTGAAAAAAAAGTTGCGAAAAGTAAGTTCTAGTTTTATTGTTCTAAAACCTTTCAATACAAATCAAGAGCGCTTAGATAAAGTTTTAAATGCATAGTTCATTTCATGAATTTTGAGTTCACTGTCGTTTTATTTGATTTGCTTAACTAGTGTGGAGTGATTTAAATAAAGAAGTGGCCAAAATGAATAAAGCTGCTCATAGCATTCATTAAAAATATTTCTCACATACTAAGAGAACAGGGTGCTTTAACATAAATAGAACATTCATTTCATTTTAACATGATAGTATGATGACTACACTTTCTCAATGAAAATATATAACTCAGAAAAAAATAATGTATATTTGAATATAAATAACTTCAGTGTAAAATTGATTAAAACTACTTTTACGGATTTTATCGCGTTTTATTTATTTTATTTTTAATACCCGACGTTTCGGGTGCTTTCCTCACTTAAATGGCAAATCTCACCATCATCCTTCATAGTTAGCTACCGTGGGCAAATCTTTGTTACAGAGAGCCGAGGGATCTGTGACAGCAAAAACCTGACCGCCGAGCTTCAGCATGTCAAGCAGGTTCGGCACGACAACAAGCTTCGGGTCCCGCGCCTCCGTCACAGTGACCGAGTGAAGCCGGCCACAGTTGAGCGTGTGCCTGCTGTACTGCCATATGTCAGAGATGTCATAGACAAGATTGGCTACATCTTGAAGCGAGCTTCTATTAGAACATTCTACAAGCCGCCGAAGAAGATTAGTTAGTTCTTACCATCCGTCAAGTGTCACATTCCTCTACAAGATGCAGGAGTGTACAAGCTTGATTTTGATTGTGATCTCTCATATATAGGGCAAACAAATAAACCAATTAGAGAACACATAGCTGACGTGAAGCATCAACGTTCCGGGAAGTCTGCAGCTTGCGATCATATCCTAGATGGCCGCAACCATTACATCAGACTTGATAGACCACAAATTCCTCGCGAAAGAACATCGATTCCTACCAAGGATGATACGTGAGGCTATTGAAATTAAAAAACATCCTAATTTCAATAGAGATGGAGGCTGGGTACTACCACCTGCTTGGGATCCTATAATTAATAAAATTAAAACTAAACCCAAGCATACCACTGCAAGACTTCAAAACACAGTTAGTTCATTCTGCGTAGATCGGACCAAAGACAATAATTAAAAAAACTGAAGGTACTCCGGGTTGACTTTGACATCGGGACGTCAGTCACCTCAGTCCCCCGTGACCATGGGTGCTGGAAAGCACCCGAAACGTCGGGTATTAAAAATAAAATAAATAAAACGCGATAAAATCCGTAAAAGTAGTTTTAATCAATGTACAGTGTTCGCGTAAATATAAGAAATGATTCAGTGTAAGACTAATAAATTATTATTTTACAGGTATGTGGTTACTGGTTACCTATACAAAATTAATAAAACAGTGATACCTGCAGAGCTACATATAGATTTAATGATTATACCATCTGGAATTCCTGCTATTGGTATGTCTATTACTTAAATAAAATTGATAATAATAATTTCATAATTTAAGTGTTAGTAGTGTGTTAGCATGTTAACTGACCACCAATGTGAGAGAGAACAAGTTTCTTTGACTTTACAAGTTAACATTTGGCTTGAGTGCTCAGACAGAGCGAATTCAAAAATATTATATTTACTTCCCCTAATATTGTGTATAAAGTTATATAAACAAGATCCACATACATTACGCGTTGGCTTATTAATGGCTAATTTAAGATTATAGCCAATAATTGTTTGATTTAGCATGTTAGCCTCTTTGCTCTTTTTTAAAGTGTTTATATTGAAATCTCCACATTTAACTATTTTTTCCTTGCGAAGCACAATGCAGCAAGTATGTCATTAAATATAGCAAAACAACTGATCAAAACTTTGTGTATTATACCATGCAACGTAAGTTCTATGGCACAACACTCAATTATACCCGAAACGTCATCTTTTTCTATAGAATTTAATGTTTTGAACTCACGATGATTGTGAATCAAAATACAGGCACCGCTATGACGGTTTTTACGACAAAAAGACGCTGCAAGTATATAGTCTTCTATGAATAATAATTTGGTGTCACCTTTCAACATATTATGCTCAGTTAAACATACTACATCAACTAGGATACCTTGTTCCAAAAGAGAATTGAGATTTAAAGTTAAAAGATCTGACTTACTTATAACACCATTAATGTTTTGATGTATTATATTTATATGTTTACAGTTAACGAAAAAATGTTTTAGATTGTTCTGCAATTACATGGTCATCACAGGTGTGTAACTCTGGTGTATTAGGCCGAGCGTCACCCATAGAATTCATTGCGATTGGCGATTTTGCAGTGCATTTACATATATCATTTCTTGCTTCATCAATGCTACACATAGTGTCTATGTCATATGGAAATAGTGATATATCGACAAGTATTCGTTGCATAACATTTTTATATATATTCTGTAATCCATAATTGCTGATTATACCATATTTGTAAGAAAACATGTCATACGAGAGATTACAATTTGAATCAAAAATATATGCATAATTTATAAGATATAGGACATTCATGGATAATAAGCTATTAAACATTTCTATTTTATAATTAAATATGGGAGCTCCGCATATATATGTAGGAACACAAAATATTATATTTGTATGAGATATGCTTTGTAAACATTGCTGAATAGATTTCCTGAATAGATTAGAAAAGGCTATGCTCGTGGTTTATCTGCATCATAGACCTAAAAATGGATGTCCGCAGTAGAACCAGAGTAACCGATATAGCACGGCGGATTAGTAAGCTGAAGCAGCAATGGGCCGGCCATAAAGCAGCTCGAAGAACCGACAACCAACGGGGAAGAAAGTTTATCCGGTGGCAACCTCGTACCGGTAAGCGAAGTGTAGTGTGGCTCCCCACTAGATGGAGTGACGACCTGGTAAGACATGCAGGAAGTCGATGGATGCAGGTGGCTCAGGACCGTGCTTTGTGGCATTCTTTGGGGGAGGCCTATGTTCAGTAGTGGACTTGTGAAGGTTTGTAATGATGAATATTCACAAACTATTAAGTTTTATAAAACGCTATAAGATAATCAACGCGTCCGATAATCGACAAAACTATTTGTTACATCTCCGCCAAAAAGCCAATTTGTTTTAATTGAACAACCCTTTATCTATACATAACAGGGGTCGGTTAATTGAACAATCGATAATTGTTCATTTAAAATAACTGTAGTGCGGTTGTTAAGATATACCTAAAGTCAAAAGGTTTCTTTCATTTCCGAGAGGTTTATGAATCAATGAGGGCAGACCACGACTTTTTCTGCCACCAGGGCCACCACTTCGGATGAAGTGAAATCTTTGACAGATTTCATGGCATGCGGAAGTAAATTTGTTAGAAACGTGTAAAGGTGAATGTTTCTCTCTGCAATGTTAGTTGTTAAGAATACAATACAGATACATTTTTTTGTGTATATATATACGGTAGAAACTGAAAAACTTTTATTAAAAAACGCAAATTTTCAATCATAAGACACTGTTACATCTAGAGCCTAAGAATGTTGGCCCTCATTACTCCGCCGCGTTTCTGTACTTGAGATATTCCCGCAATATGTTCATTCGTTTATGCCGGTTTGCTCACGTACTGTGACATTGACGGTAAATGCTTAATCCCTGATCTAACACGGCACTTCTCATGTACCTTATGTCCTCCAGAACGAATTTCAGTCGCGGCACCTAGTCTCAACAGACACTAGCCACCTGCAGGACAGGATTACCTTACAGGTTAACTCTTATAGTACGATGGAGCAAGTAGCCCGACACGACCAGAGAAAGATCAGGTGCAGGACCTACAGCTTTATATGCTTTCCGAGATACAGGGGTTAAACACCGCTAACCATCTAACTCCGGGCCGCTGGTAGTAATTTATTGGGAAAAAATCCCAACAACTGATTTTGGCCCGACCCGGGATTGGATCCCACGACCTCATGAACGCCAACCGCGTTTACGACTACTAGACCAACGAGGTAGTCAAGATATATCAACGAAATGTACAAAAAATGTACTTAGGCCTCCTCCCATAGATTGCTTCATAGAGGGGATTTTCAACCGCTGTGTTTTATTACTTTTGAGATGTTATCACGATGATGCTGCTGCCCATCTCCAGTTTAATTTTTCTCTATCGTTTCTTACGACTCCCACGGTATATCGGAGTGTGGATTTTCTTACCTTCTCCCCCCACTACATGGCAGCGCAGTACGCGGAAGGTGCACATGGGCTATAATAATTATAAGCTCGATAGACAAATTCACTTACGTAATCGTGCAAATATATATGGGACAAGAAGTTTCGCCTCGGCTTCGCACTGATGCGATCAGCCTTATGTTTGATAGCAAAACCACAGATTAACTAATAGTTACTACGTAAACAAATCAAAAAGGATAGGTAGCACAATGGATGATTCCGTATAAATTAACTATTTGTATTACCATTATATAATTGTTCCAGGTGTTAGTTCCAATTTATGTTGAGTGAAACTACTTGTTTTGTTAGGAACTCTCGTATCTCGTTACCAGATATGTATAATTGCAGGGGTTCGATTACCTATTAAGAGGAAACCAGAATATTTTAATTATATTAACATTTATAGTATTACATTTTTTATCGCGACTAATAAAATTTTACGTGACTACGTTTTCATAAAAATGGAAATAAACGATTAGGTCGTAAACCTTATTTATACGAATTTAGTTTATCCTCATAAATTTGAAATGAACATTGTTACGAAATTTGAATACAATGTTAACCAAATTTATTGAAATTTTAAAAACAGCTATCGCCATCTAATAAAATATATTAAGCTTTTTCTATTTTGTTGTTCAACACACTGTACGACTTTATGAATAAAAAATACTCCAGTAGATAGCGCAAAATTATAACGACAAAACGCCATCTACCGTATTTGTATCGTAGCTTTATGTTTTCTTTCCTCCACGTTCTTGGTAACCTTCGAAATGATGACATCTATGTTTACTCTTAAGAACTAAAACATTTGAATTTTAAACCTGTCTCTACTCTCTACACAGGTTTAAATCAAAGTTCCTCTGAAAGACACTTCGAAATTGCAAGGTACTTTCTCACTTACCTTTAGCAGATGAGGATCACGCTCCGCCGCATCTAGCAGTGATTCAGCTTCACTCAGCCAAGCAACGAACTTCTCCAGCGAACGATCGAAATTCTGCAGTGATGATACAGCAGAATGTAAAGCCTTCCCGCGAGCCACAATACTGCAAAAGAAATAAACGCATTTACTTCTAAGCGCAATATTTGGTAAGAAACTAACTTTGTGAGTTTTCTAGCTTCCACATAATACAGCTATTTAAAGTCGGGGTCATAATGGTCTGGTAATTGACTACAGTCATATAAGTATCCATATAAGACGAGTACAGAACAGTGTACCTAAATTACCCCTGAAGCACTATTATAAAATTAAAATAAATTTAGAAAATGTTCTGAATTAGTCTGTGAAATTCAGATCAACCACCGTTAATATAAGTTAAAGAATTTTAAAAGGCTTCCATAACTAAAGGTCTCCTTTTAACCTAGGAGTTCGTTTGGGAATAAACATTCTTATCTATATTATATATTTGACAAGTATAGGTAATTAGTATAGTTGCCACAAGCCAACCACTTTACACGAGGTTCACAATCTGTAAACTCATTTGTCATGTTTACGTAGTAATTGTAATTCCTTCATTATTTAAATAAAAGTATAAAAAAGTAGACAAATGTAACCAAGAAATCAATAAAGTAGAACTAGCAAGAGCTTTCAAAAGCTTAATGTTTTTGAATATGCTTAGTATTATAACTTGTTTGTAGATGGCGTTAAACAAAATCACTAAAAACTGAAGATATGTGGCGCTTATCATACACTACCATTAGTGTACTAGGCTTTATGATAGATGGCGCTTTAAAAAGCCGTGTGGTGGCTTTTTGCCCGTTTCGTCCCGTGAGTATCGTAAGAGGCGAAATGTCCAAAAATCTCAGCTTCAAATAGATGGCGGTAATATCAAGACCGACGATAGGGAATTTCGCCAAATGTCAATGCACCCGCCAGCGCGCTTGTGATGTGTCTCCCGTCTAACGTATACTTTATTTTTGATTATTCTATATTGTACACTATAATACAGAAAACGAGTAAGGTTTAATATATATTTAATATCTCAAGTAATATGTACAACAGGCAGTCTTAGCACTCTGAAAATGATCACTCCCGGATAATCCTTATAAAGTGGACCCATGCGAAAAGAGTACAAAATGGTAAAGTAATTTTATGTAGTATTATCGTTCTAAGTAATACGATTTAACAAGACTTTTGAACGCATAATAAGATTAGAATGACGAATGGGGAGAGGCAAAGAGTTCCACAAACCTACAGCAGTGACAGTAAAGGGTTTCTTAAAAAAGGAGAAAGATTGCAGGCAGTATTGAAAAGGAGTAGTGAGAGAAAAATTTATAGAGGATAGAAGAAACCGATTATGGGTGAGAGGAAGATACTTAAAATGGTCTTTATCGTTTGATGAAGAAGATTAACGGGAAAAGGTATATAATAAACTTAATTACATTATTTTCTGCGCACAGAAACGCTATATTTTTTAAAATTATTTTCGGTAAATTTATAACTCATACAATATAATACACACCTGAGTAAAAATACACATAAATACGTCCTAAAAAAGGTTTTTTAACTTTACTTACAATTGCGTTGTATCTCTAATGTAATATCTTATATTTATTTAAAGTTTTATTTAGGTAATAGGTAAAATATAAAATTTCAACAATAAACGTAAAAGTTTTCCAGCGGTCTGCATTAACAACTAACTTCCAGTTCTGGTATGTGCGCCTGGTTCAGGTGAAGTCGTTGAAGCTTTTGACCTTTATCCTGTGATTTCTCACTGACTTTGTCAAGTAAATAAATTAGTAGCTTATAATTTTTGTGAAGAGATGTGATAAAGCAGAACTGCTGAAATGCTTGCCGTTGCTTTTTACACATCTCTAAGGGCATGATATAGTTTCAGTGTTGAGTAATGAGGCCTTTAAAGGATGATTAATTCCCAAACATTACTTTTGTTAATTGCTCTTTTGCTTTTGTAAATTCAAGTAGTGTAGTGGCGTTGTAAGAGAATCTGCTACCTTATATCATTCGGTAGGTGTCGTGGACGATCCAAGAGGGAAATGAAACGGGAGACGGGCAGCTGCATCTTCCTGATAACAACTAATATAATCATAAACTGCGGTTGCTAATACAAACTGCACCGCCCACGTGACAACTCATGGGTGAGGTTATGTTCAGCTGTGGGCATTTAATAGGCTGTAAATAAATGAATGGAAATTTCTCAGAGCCCTCATACTTTTTCCACAGTGTTGCGATTATAACTTAGACGTTAAAATTTGGTTCGGCTTTTTTTGATATAATGATAAGCGAGCCCACAGTTCATCTAATTTCAAAATTGAGATTGTCATCCCTGGGGATTTTTATTAATCACTCGTTGTCAGGAAAAAGTGTTTCCAATTCTTGTCAATTATCATACAAAACACAACAGCATTCTTCTAAAATTTTAGACTTGTATTCCGTGTGAGCGTAGTCCTTCCCCGGTCGAGTCTTATCACGCTGTAAACACAATACAACTGCACCATGGCTCTGCCACGTTAACGGACATAATAATAAATATTTAAACCAGAAAGCAACACCGAGTTGAAATTATGTTGTTTAAGGAAGCATAGATAAAGAATTCCTAATTCTTCATAGAACTATATGACAACAGTTATTAGGTAACATTCGTTTTATTTTATGAACCCAAAGATTTTTAGAATTTCAAATAAGCTACCGTGATGAAGACACAGTTCAAAGATTTTCAATTATACGGCTAAGTAATATTATTTTAAAAATCCCAACCGTATGAGAATATCCACTACACCAAGTTATCCTGTGGTTGTCGCAAGAGAAGACCGAGGGAAACTCAAAAAGAAGATCTGCAGTAGCGTTTTACTGATAACAACTTAATTATACTACAAAAACTGCGTTTGCCAATTTGCCTGCCTGCTTAATAAAAAAAAAGCAATACCTTGAATTAAAAAAAAAAAACATTACCCCTAGGATTTTCTCCTATATCGTGGAGGTAGTTTACATACATACATTGAAAAAGCACAAACGTCCGGACGTGGAACAATTATTCGAAGCCAATACAAGCACTTGCTTTGTGTAGGATTCGAACCCGCGGCCTTCTACGCTGCAACTCAATGCCAAGCCACTACGCCATGAAGCCGTCTCCGTACATTTATAACAATAAAGCGTGTCTGTACATAGAAAATAATGTTATAATAAAAATACCTTTTCCCGTTCATCTTCTTAAAACAAGTGACTTACTAGATATGAGATAAACCAATATGAGGTAAAATGATGACATAAAAATTTTTGCAATAAAAAAATCTCTCACCTGTTGTTTAGCTCATTGTATCGATGATTGATTGATTCGGTGGCGCGCTTGATGCGCGTGGTGTCGTCGTTGCGGTACACCGCGATCAGCCGCTGGGTCAGCTGCCCGAACAGCTCGATCTGGTGCTTGTACTGGTGCACCTCAGCGTGGAACGACTGCAATAGTGAACAACTTAGTGAATAACTTCAATAGTGAAATCGTGGATGCACACGATGTTTTGTAAATATTTAATTATTGTTATATAATAATTATTATAATAAATATTTGACAAATTTCATAGCGGCAAGCTTCGATCAATGATTATACTAGTATTATTGATCGAAGGCGGTAAGTTAATTTGTTAGAAAAATGTAAGAGTCAATGTTTCTTTCAGTAACGTTAGTTATATTTTATACTAATAAGGGATAAGTCGCTCGCGTCCGTAGGCTTTGACCACCTATTCCTAGTCCCACCCTACACGTGTCCTCCGGGTGGTGCTAAATGAGCGACAAGCCGATACCACAGACTCGGCTCCACGCCGTGGTAGCGGCGTAAAATATACTACCCCATATTTCGCACCATGAGGAACCATATAAAAGAAATGGCCCCGAATTCCCGGCGCCCCTTTAATGGGGCAGGGGTTCGAAGAATCTCCGGGAGGAAAACCGGCGACGAGGTTCGCCACCCGTCACGTTCTGTCTCCCGGAGAGGCGAAAAGTGGATTGCAGAGGCCCGTCTGGCTACGTTGAATGTATGTGGGGCAATTAATGATAAAATGGATGAAGTATGCGATATGATGTATGATAGAGGAATAGATGTGTTATGTGTAAATGAGACGAAAAGGAAGGGGAAGGATGTCACTACACATGGCATGTATACCGCATACTGGTCTGGTGTAGACGAGATCGAGCGGGCATGCCAGGAAGTAGGTATCATCCTTTCAGAAAGAATGGGCCAATGTGTGAAAGAGTATGAATGTGTAAGCCCAAGACCGCTATGGATACGAATGAAAGTGGGCTTAAAGAAGTTGTTTGTGTTAGTGGTCTACGCCCCAGATATGTCTAAGCCCACTTATATCCGAGAGCAGTTTTGGGAAATGGTAAGGATGGTGTTAATGAAGTGTAAGGGAAATGAAAATATTATTATGCTAGGAGATTTTAATGAAAGGGTTGGGGTGATGAGGCTTGGTTATGAAAGGATATTGGGAACGTTTGGTGATGAAAGTATAAATGAGAATGGTGAAAGTCTCCTCACCGTATGTATGGAAAAGAATCTTTTTGTGACGAACACTTGCTTTCGCCACAAGAGGATTCACATGTATACTTGGGAAAGAGGTGACGATAGAAGCATGATAGATTTCATAATTGTGGATGAAAGATTGAGGGGCGCAGTGGTAGATATAAGGGTTTACCGGGGTTCTAACGTAGGAACGGATCATTATTTGGTTTTATGCCGAATTAATGGTCTATTCAGGCGTTGGCGCCATCGATCATCTGTGTTTATCACTGCGTTACAGCGTATTAGAACAGAAAGCTTACAAGATGAAGGTGAGAAAAACAAGTTCAAATGTAGACTGAAAGAAAATATAAGTGGTTTGGATGAATTATGTATGAAGGAGTTAGACTTGGAGAATGTATGGCAAAACGTAAAGAAAGGTTTAGTGGATGCAGCTACCGAAGTATGTAGTGTTAGTAAGAGAAAGAATGAAAGGAAAAATAATACGTTATGGTGGGATGATAAGATACGTATGGAAGTTGAAGCAAAGAAGAGAGCATGGCTAGATTTACTAGCAACAAAGGCTGGTAATTCTAGCGGTACGAATGATGATATTGAAAGAAAAAGGCAGTCTTTAGACATCTTAATAAGATAGTAAAACAAGTAGTTGAAAGAAAAAAGCAAGAAAGAACGGATAAGAATGATAGAAGAATATCGGATAACTTCCAGGCAAATATTAAAATGTTCTGGAAACTTGTAAGAACTGCCAGGGGACATTCAAAACAGCCTATGATGAATGCTATAAGAGACGAGAATGGCTATATTCTGAATGATGAAGTTTTGAGTTTAAAGAGATGGAAGTAATATTTTGAAAGCGTGTTCATGAGTGAGGAGACAACGTGTGTACTAAGTGAAGTAGAAACTCCGAAAGAAGAGGAAAGAGGTAGTGAGATAAGTATATTTGAAATAATGAAAGCAATGAAAAGCATGAAAGCAGGTAAGGCTGCTGGATATGATAGAGTTTCTCTCGAAATGCTAAGGGCTGGAGAGGAAGTGGTGGCAGGCCTGCTGCACACCTTGTTTAATTTATGCTGGGAACTGAAGCGGGTACCGGTAGACTGGTTCAAAGCCGTGATAGTCCCAGTATATAAAGGAAAAAGGTCGCAGCAGGACTGTAAAACCTACCGTGGCATCAGCCTTCTTAGCATTGTGGGAAAACTGTATGCTAAGGTACTGATTGAAAGGGTCATGAAAGAAACTGATGGAAAAATTTGGGATGTGCAAGCGGGATTTAGAAAGGGAATGGGATGTACAGATAAAGTCTTTTCCATGCGCATGATCGCGGAGAAGTTTCTGGGCACAAACCAAAAGGTTTTTTGTGCGTTCATGGACTTAGAAACAGCCTATGACAGAGTGTATAGGGATGTGCTATAGCAAACACTGAACTCATTTGGGTTGAGCGCTGGCTTGATACAGGCGTTGGAGTCTCTTTATAGGGACTCTAGTGCTTGTGTTAGGATCAACGGGGTCTAATCGGACTGGTTTGACATCCATAAAGGTGTCAGACAGGGCTGTGTGGCTTCCCCGTGGCTGTTCAACCTATTTATGGACAGTTGTTTACAAAATTTGAAAGTTGAAGAATGCGGTTTAAGAATGGGTAAGTTAACAAATTTCAAATGCCTTTTGTACGCCAATGATCAAGTTATCCTTGCGACGTCGTCGGCCGAGTTGCAAATGATGGTTACATTAATGAACAGATCATTAAAAGAAAGGAGTATGAAGTGAACGCAAGTAAGACGAAGGTTACGGTTTTTGAAAGAGAAGAAAGTAAAACGATTTGTGAAATAAGAATAGAAGGGGAGTTGATCGAGCAAGTAGATGAGTTTGTATATTTGGGCTGCGTATTTAGCAGGGATGGGAGATATGATAAGGATATATAACGACGAGTGAATGCGGGAAATAGAGTAAATGGGGCCCTGCACTCTATTGTGAAGAGTCAAAATGTGTCAAAAAAGGCACGTATGGCAATTCACAATGCTGTGTTGGTCCCTACTTTAACGTATGGTAGTGAAAGTTGGGTGTGGCAGAACAAGCACGAGAGTAGAATCAACGCAGTAGAAATGCGGTCGTTAAGGAGTATGTTAGGATTGAATCTGAACAACAGGGTAAGAAATTGTGTAGTAAGAGAAGAGTGTAGTTTGCAAGATGATGTTGTGACCAGGATTAAGAAAGGAATGCTTCGGTGGTTTGGTCATGTGGAAAGAATGAATGAGGAAAGAGTGACAAAGAAAATTTATGTTGCAGAAGTGAATGGCAGAGTCGGCAAGGGACGTCCTAGGCGAAAATTTATCGACCAAATTGGCGATTTATTGACAGGCGTGAGTGTTTATGTATGTATGTATATACATACATACATACATAAACACTCACGCCTGTCACCCAGAGGGGTAGGCAGAGACTACAGACTTCCATTTGGCACGATCCTCACACACCTCTCTCGCCTCCTTCACATCCATACACCTACGCATACATGCTCGTCGGTTACGGGTACTCCTAATTTGGCCCGTTTTCAATAAATCGCCAATTTGGTCGATAAATTTTCGCCTAGGACGTCCCTTGCCGACTCTGCCATTCACTTCTGCAACATAAATTTTCTTTGTCACTCTTTCCTCATTCATTCTTTCCACATGACCAAACCACCGAAGCATTCCTTTCTTAATCCTGGTCACAACATCATCTTGAAAACTACACTCTTCTCTTACTACACAATTTCTTACCCTGTTGTTCAGATTCAACCCTAACATACTCCTTAACGACCGCATTTCTACTGCGTTAATTCTACTCTCGTGCTTGTTCTGCCACACCCAACTTTCACTACCATACGTTAAAGTAGGGACCAACACAGCATTGTGAATTGCCATACGTGCCTTTTTTGACACATTTTGACTCTTACATATTTATTTTATACATACGTATATTTTATACTAATTAGATGAGAAATTAACAAAACAAACTACGGATATTCCTAAAAGTTATATTTTTTTTAAATATACAAAATATAAAGAGCAAACCACTGAGGCATTGTTTTGTGAATTAATATAATAATCTATAAAACCGACCATAGTACATACCATCGTACAAGATTTTATTCCATATAGATAGGTACTATAAATAAAAATAAAAATAAAATAAAATAATTTTATTTCAGGCAACAGAAAATCCATATAGTATGTTAGTAAAATTAAAGTGAAATATAACTTCTATGAATTTTAGTGTTAGTAATCAATTTTATTTAAATAAATATAATAAACACAAATATAAAGAAAGAAGATGTTGAGATCAGCGTCTTATACCTTGGCATGAAGCCGTATCCAGTGCTCAAGCAGCGGCGAGTCCCATCTATCTGCCATTATATTAATACTATGCTGGTAGAATATAGCAGTACAAACTCTATGAGCATTTCAAGTGTTTACTCGTTGCCATTATTAATATCGAGCAAAAACAGCATATAAAAACACGTTTCTAGGGAGAGCCCTTTCTATTTTTTTAATTTTTTTTTTGCGACAGAATTTCCACTGTCTACTTGTTATGAATTATGAGGTACAGCCCGCTGACAGACGGATGGACGGACAGCGGAGTCTTAGTAATAGGGTCCGTTGGTTAACCTTTGGGTACGAAACCCTACAACTGATAAACTTTTATTAAAAACTAACTTCTCAATGAAATTACATTATGTAAAAATAATTCACCTTAGCTACATTAACTGTATAGTTATAGCACAAATGGGTTGGCTCGACCGGGGAAGTACCACGCTCTCACAGAATACCAACCTAAAAGAGCAGCTTAACGCTGCTGTGATTCGTATGGTGAATGTAGAAACCTGGAGACTCTTTTTACTGGAAAAGACGCATTCCATCTTTGTCCTCACGGGTGTAAACGCATCTGCACTTTGATTAGTAATCGAGGATAGATGTAGATGTCTATGGCCACAGCAACCGTTTACCGTCAGGTGGACTGTGTGCTCGTTTGTCACCTTTATCTTATCTTATCTTATAGCGACATCGGGTGAACGAAATATTCTTAGTCCTCATTGAACAAGTAAACTCAAATTAACGTACCGTGTGGAAGTAGAAAAAATTAATTTATAACAAAATGTGATAAATTAATTTTTTCTACTATACTACTTAATAAATAATTAAGTCTTGTAGCTGTCATAGGTCTAGTCTAGTGTAAGCCAGGATTTAGAATGCGTATGTATATATGCGCGACAGTACAACAGTAATTTTAGCTCGCGTCGCGTCGGTTCCATTATTGTTGGTCGAGTGCGGAACAGTTGTTTACGCTCATAAACCACGTAGCTAACAATTTTATTGCATGTTTCTTTTTACTACATCCGAATTAGATTTAGCGTCTGCTCTGTGGAGAGTTATGACGTGCTCTGTGATCTTTATTAGTCGTCGTCAAGGCAGATTTCTGCTTTAAACTCGGGCTTTGCTAGCGTCAAAAAACTTGTAACTTTTGTTTTTGCAATTATTTTCTTTAATTGTATATCGTCTGTAATGTTTTTAAGACTTATTCTGCCTGAACTTGTTTTCTGCCTGGGAGTCCGTCTCAGGTACCACCTTCTAAGCTATATCTGCCATCAAATAGCAATGCATGCACTCATGTGTTCCAGTCTGAACGACATAGAGCTAGTATAGTTACAGATTGTGATACTTTCATCTTAGATTCCGCAGGTGATAACGCGCTTCAAATCAACGCAGCCAACTTCAAATAAAGTCTGAAGTTGTATGACCCGCGGTAGCCACTGACCATCAGGTCGACTATAAGTTTTGTCACTTCAATTGTACTAAACAAATAAAAGCCAGGAGTAAAAGCTGTCTGGTACTGAGATTGACAATTCACCCCTCAAACGTGGCTATTAAGGAAATTCTGTAGGAAGGAATTTAATCGTCACACTCTCTATGTACAGCGATGACACTTTACTGGTCGATGAAAAGAACATGAACATTTTTCAAAAAGGCAACATTAATACAAAAAATATTTCAATATTACAACTCAAAGATTTTTCTTTGATTGCTCTTTTACAGAATGTAGCCTGTAAACTAACATTGCTCGGGGAAAATATTTGGAATACAGAGAAGTACGATTCAAAGAAAACCTCGCCCTGAAGCGACTACCGACAAGAAGAAATAAAATGAAGGTCTGAGCTAAATGTTTATATTAAAGGTACCAAGCAATACAATTCAAAGAAATCTACGCCCTGAAGCAACTGACCCGAAGGAATAATAATAAAATAAAAACAAGAACAAGATGTTACCTTTTAAAGATCTGAGATAAAAGAATTTAGAAATTGCCGCAGTTATTAATTATGGAGCTTCTATAGATCGTTCCATAGGTCGTTAAGGTTATAAAAAGTGTTTAAAGTAACGCAATAAGTGGGAAAAATTACGCGAATGAGAGCATTTCCATCTTGCTATAATTCAGGGTTGCCGAAGCAAACAAATATAATAGTTATGAATATGTAACAACTATTACTCGTATATTGTATACAACTACATAGTATATACACAGCTGTTATATTTATTATTTGACTTATTTGTATGTATGTGATCGTGCGGTCAGGCTTGAAATCCGGGTCAAAATTAGTTTTTGGTCAAGAAGGAGACGGTGTCTCATCCGACTTGGAAAGCACTTGAACCCGTTGGTCCTACGCCAGATTCTCTTCGGTCATGTCGGATCGCCGTCCCATCAGACTCGTTCACTATACTCAAATCCTGCACAGAGTCTCCGTTAAAACTGGCCGCCGTGACCGACATTTGTCTGGAGGTCATTATTTAAATGTTTTCCTGTCTTGTTGGTGAAGTGATTGCTTGTAACCACTGCGATGGTTACCTTACTTTAACATATTACACAAGTGACAAATGAACCCTATTGTTTAGAATAATCGTGAATAAATATAATGGAATAGATGGTTTGCCATTTTTCTATGGAGAAAATTAGTAGAATTTGTGAAAAAAAAGATGAGACCTGACCAGATAGTTCTCGGCATCGAAGAAGTTAAGGAAAGGAAGAGGTGGTATCGAGAAGCACTGCCTCTAGATTTGACCCTGGAGCGGTCATTTATTTCCAGTCCCGAGGCTGACCGTTGTTAATTCGTTTGCAGAAATAACTAAGGGAATAATAATTTGATTGTTCTCTCCTGCCATATTTAGATATTTTGTTTGCCTAATTTCTGACGATCTCGAATGATGCATAACGTTACACATTTTACCATTAGTATAGCAACCCTATGTTAGTAGGGCGTTCGTAGATGAGTATAAAATAGCCTAAATTAAATGACTATTATGAGATTCAACAACGCTCGCGAGGTTAAATTGAAAAGAGCTGAATGAGCAGATTGAAACTAAATATTTTCGTTTGAGAACGCCTTTTCTATTTAAATTATATGCTTTCTACCTACGGTTTTAAATCGAAATAATAATTAAAAGAGTTATAATGTTTATGCAGTGAAGGTTTATTAAATATATCTAAGATTTAATGATTTCCAGTAGAATAGAATAAAATAATTTCATATATATCTTTATATATATAACTTACGTGTCACGTTGTTTGTCCGCGATGGACTCCTAAACTACTGAACCGATTTTAATAGAATTTGCATACGGTGTGCAATTTGGTCAGGGGTAGCAGTTTTTTGCCCATGAATTACCCATAATTTTTTTGTGAATTTAAGGATTTTTAATAGGACGTGACAAAGGGTCGTCGAAAAGGGCAGAACAACGTCTGCCTGGCAAGCTAGTATATATATATATATATATATATATAAATCAAAAGCTGTCCGTTAGTCTCGCTAAAACTCGAAAGATTTTGATTAAATTTTTGCGTGCGTGGCGCTGTTGACGAGATCCAGAAATCTCCCGTGCGAAGAAGGGGCGGATCGCTGGTATTCAATATATTATATAACAAGTCTTGTTGAAATTTATATTTTTACTTTCATTATATTCAATCCGAGAATGCTTGTAAGACTGAGATCACCCTTTCTTGCCGTAGTGTCGTAAAAAGCAACAATAGAAATTGGAACATTGCAAATGGAAATAATGAGCTTCCTTAGACTTTTTTATATTCGCCTTTTTTTATTTGCGTATATGTATATTTCTTAAGGTTTAATTGCACCTGTTGAGGGCAAAATAGTCTAATGTGTTTTTCTTGGCGCTTTTTCTTGCATGATCTCCAGAAATAACATTAATGTTTGACGAAATAAATAATTTAATATTATTATTATTATGTGGGGTATCTATATAGTTTTCTTATCTGGTTGGGTTTATTTTTTTATTATTATTATTATTGTTATTATTAAAATGACTTATTGAAACGATGGTGTAGCTCTCTTGGCTTTGTAAAGATTAATTTTAAATAAATATAATTTAAATTTACCTAAAATCTCCGATAGATACAGATAAAAACATCTAGCTCACTTCAGACGCAAAACACTACGACGGGCAGAAGTGTTAAAAGTGCGAGATGTAATACTGTGACCGTAAATCCACATATCACGTAGTAAAATATTTAAAACAATATCAAAAATTACCTTTTGCTCTCTAAGTTGCATTTCCAGGACATCGGCGGTATGTCCTGGAGGTGTCATGGCGGCCAGTCGCGCCTCCATACGAGAAAGCCAGGCGTCAGCGTCTCGTCTCCTTGCTTCATATCGCTGCGAGTCGCCAAGCATGGCGTCAAGCTGCGCTTTGCGTTGGAGCACACGTGCATTCGCCTCATCCCAGTGCTCCCGGAGGGCTGTCACTGGAAAAAAAGTCGGAATTAGTGTTGAATAATTTATTTTTCTTTAATATAGAATAAGAGTGACAAACGAGCAAGCAGTACACGTAACACACATTCATTGTTTACGAATAAAATATTTCATTATATTTCTATTTTAATTTTCCTTCCTGCAGGTACATTAAGTTATAGTCTAAAGAGAATCGAGCCACCCTGACCACGTTTCGCCAAAAATGTTGGTTTAGATGGCAAATTATGAAAGAAGTAATAGGTGGCTAGCCCATACTACATATGCTATGTAAGTAACTAACACATAATTGGCACAATAAGTTTAGTTATTTAGTTATACGTCCTTTATAGTACGGGACCTAGACCAATTTGGGACAAAATTTACAGTAAGCTTAAAGCTTCATAAAATGTATTGATTGGTGAATTTGTTGGCATGAAACGTAGTGAAATTAAGTTTGTTAGTTTTTAATTTTTGTAATACATGCAAGTGTTTATTTATTAAATTTTGCTATGTAAAACGTAATTTATTAAAATATAATAATAAATTACAAATGTTTATTTGTAATTTTATATAGCATTCCTAAATCATTTGAGCAAATAAATAAAATTGTAGTGTCTGTTTGTAATGTAAAAATAACAGTTCTTAACTAAATGCATATGAAGGTATATACTCGTACAGTACCTATAACAAAAACACAATTTTTAAAATGTTTGTCTGTTTGTTCAGGCTAATCTCCGAAACGGCTTGACAGATTTTGACGAGACTTTCAATGGCAGATAGCTGATATTACAAGGGGTGCTTTTATTTTAGAAAAATAATAGGTTTCCGCGTATAAAAATTAAAACCCTAAGTAGTACGCGGGCGAAGTCGCGAGATAAAGCTAGTTACTCGTTTAACATAATACTCAACATAAATCAAATACATATCTTAAAAATTATAATCGTAACTAAGCAATGTATAAAACCAAGTTATATTAAAATAACAAGTGTACCCTACAAGGATAATATATGATTTCATAAAGTCAGTAACACAATTTTAATTAATTTTCATTTCAAATGATATTTAACGCTGCGAGCTGCCGACGGATCGCCTGTAAATAGGGTTGCCAACCTTGCGTTTTTATATATTTGTATAAGGCTACATGGACTGGCAAGGATACGGTATTACCATCAATGGCGAGTACATCAGTCACCTTCGATTTGCCGACGATATAGTCCTTATGGCAGAATCGCTGGAGGACTATGCTCAATGACCTCAATAGTGTCTCTCAACTATATATTTAATATATATATATATATATATATATATATATATATATATATATATATAGTTGAGAGGTCTTAAGATGAACATGGACAAAACAAAGATCATGTTTAATGTCCATGTCACACCTATGCCGGTAGTTGTTGGGAGCACTATGCTCGAAGTTGTTGACGAGTACGTTTACCTGGGACAAATAGTCCGACTAGGTAAGTCCAACTTCGACCGAGAGGTCAATCAACGGATTCAACTCGATTGGGCAGCGTTCGGGAAATTACGACACATCTTCTCGTCAGGTATACCTCAATCTCGGAAAACTAGATTGTACAACAAGTGGGTGTTGCCAGTGATAACTTACGGATCTGAGACGTGGTTCTTCACTGCTGGCCGTATGAGGACGCTCAAGGTCGCTCAGCGAGCTATGGAGAGGGCTATGCTCGGAGTTTCGCTGCGTGATAGACTCAGAAATGAGGATATCCGAAGTAAAACCAGAGTGACCGATATAGCCCAACGGATTAGTGAGCTGAAGTGGCAATGGGCCGGCCATATAGCTCGAAGAACCGAGAACCGATGGGGAAGAAAGGTTCTTGAGTGGCAGCCTCGTACCGGTAGCCGTAGTGTAGGGCGACCCCCCACTAGATGGAGTGACGACCTGATAAGATATGCAGGAAGTCAATGTATGCAGGTGGCTCAGGACCGTGCTTTGTGGCATTACTTGGGGGAGGCCTATGTTCAGCAGTGGACTTGTGAAGGGCTGTAATAATGATGATGATGATGATAAGGCTACATATTTTTTATCAAATTATGTTATATTTAAAGTGGAAGAGCCACGTTGCAGTTATATTATGGTTGCAGCAGAAATGGGTTAGCCTGACTAGGGAAGGACAACGTTCTCAAAGTATACCAGCAGAACTCATCCCCAACGTCCTATGATCAAATGACACCTTTGTTTATCGGCTTCAATAACTACAGCATTTGACGAAACATTTGTTAGGTCTCATTCAGCGTACCTTTATCCATATGAATGTGTAAGTAATTTCTAACGTTTATCTTATGCATGGACAAAATTAAAAGCTTAAAATTAGACCATCCTGTGTTGTTTCAGCGTTCAAATTATTTTTATGACAGCCTTAAAAGCATGTCTTCTCAATTATATGACTATATATTTTAGGAATGTTTTAAGAGTGATAGTTGAATTACCCCCCGAAGTAGGCCTAATGTAACTTTTACCACAAAAACTGCTTTAATACGTTGTCAAATAATTAAGATGTTAATATATTATTTGGCAAGAATATATTACTTTCAACTATAACCTTTTTTGTTTTATTATGATCACCACTTCGGATGAAAAATCTTTATATATAATGAATTTTATTTTCAAAATTTAAACGTAGCTTGATAAAACCCCTATAGAAGCAAGGTGGATGCTTAAAAAATTCAATGTACCTGGACTCGCACAAACTGTTACACGTCACATTAGTTGGCAAATTTAGGTTGATGACACATTAAGACTAAATTAAAAATAATATATGTTAACTGTCCCTTTATCAAATATTTCTTATATATTTATACAAATCAAATTTACATAATACAAAAAAAAAATTGGATCTGGTCGAACCACGACGCAGCTATATTATGGTTGCAGTACTAATAGATTGGCTTGACTAAGCTAGGATCACGCTCTTACAGAATACCAGCGTAATAATACTCTGTTTCGTATGGTGAGTGAAGAGAACCGGAGATCCTCGAGAGCACTTTGAGACATTCTTACTTAGTCCCCAAAATTACCGCATCTACATTTTTATACTTAATCGTAGATAGACGTAGATATCTATGGGTCATAAATCCAGTGGCAATCAAGTGGACTATATGCTCCATTGTCAATCTTATTCTATTAAAAAGAAATATAAAAATTTTTAGCTCGGTAATATTATTATAATTCTTGTTCATCAAAGCTATAATTTTGACAGAAATAATGCAAATTGTTTATCATAATCCTCTAAACCGATGAATGTACAGGTACTTTCAAGTAACTGTATGTGTATCGGAAATCTATCAAAATCTAGCGAAATGAACAAGCTTTAATTTTGTTTCTTCATTCAGATCTACCAAGTAATCTACTCGCAAAAAGAGACACAGTTTGAACTTCAAAGTTTGAAGTCAAACAGCTCAAACTTATTTATATTGTCAAACAACTACTTATTCAAATCATTAACTCATTACAAATAAAACCTTATCACTTTAAAAGTTATTAAAGTTTAGTAGTATTATGGTGTGAACTCCCCCGATGCAACCTCAACCTTACGCAAACTCGACGCAAAATCGACATACCCATCTCTCAGTTCCCAGTACGCAATAGCCGATGTCCCGGCCCCGACCTACGCGATATGAGTCATATATATTAATGTTCACATTCGAAAAAGGAACGTTTTGAAACAAAAGGGTATACATATAAAAATCGGTCTATAATCCAGCAAAGGGTCACTTTCCGAATGTTATGTATATTTGACCCTTTTCCGGCCAAAATAATTGTTTACCGAAATGTAAAAATGCTTTATTCGTGCACAAAAACAACAAAATGGGAAAACAATTGTTTTTTTTGTTGTATGTTATTTTTATTTCCTTATAATTTAATTTGGTAATGTTTTTTTTATAAAATAAGATTGACAAACGAACACGTAGTCCATCAAATAGTAACTGGATGCTGTGGCCCTTAGACATCTTCTCGATTAAGAATCAAAATGCAAATGTGTTGATTGAATGCCTCATATCTGTATTTCGTATGATGAGTGTAGAGAACCAGAGACCCTTTTTACTGGAAACGAGGCAATCCATCTTAATCCACAAGTATGACAACGCATCTGAATTTCGATTTTTAATTGACAATAGATGTAGATATCTAATAACCACCAATTGCATGCTCGTTTGTCACCCTTATTTTATTTTAAAAAAAAACTTGAAGTGACGAGGAATATCATCAGGAGTGCGAAACGTTTAGTCAATACACTCGCCAATCCTTCTGACAATTATGACTCTTCCAAGTATTGGAAAAGCGCACATTCAACGGTGGACAGTTTCTTTTGTCGCACTAAAATGTAATACGCGGTAGAGCTTCCTACTAGATCAATCTAATACTCGACCACATCATTTACATAAACACGTTTGAAGTCACTCGTAAATTATCTGCTTATTCGTTAAGAACGAGCGGCGTGAAGAAAATCCTCTTACATATTCATATACGCAGTAAAGCTGTATTAACATTTGTAACGGAAAATTTTAGGCAGCCTTCCATTTAATATTTGCTCACCTTCGGGTTCTTTATTCCGCTAACACGGGCACACGCGCTCGCACAAATAAAGCATTATGAATATGTAACATTCAATCAGGCTTGAGTGTGTGCAAGCACTGTTATATTCCTGTGACTTAATTTTGTACACTGTGTTTTTAAAAGGTTTGCACTTTTTTCTTTTACGTACGCAAAGAACCCATGCAGCCTTCTTCAGACGTTGTGTAGTTAGTGACCGTAGTCGTCGCAAAACTTAGACGTCGCTTCGATAACTTTTTTCGTTCATCGTTCTATTAAAAGTCACTTGTTCAACATAGGTATTCCCAAATATTGTCTCATACGAGAGTTCTTAGAAAATCAAAAACTGAACAAAGTAGCAAGTTATTAATTTTATTATATCTTTTCAAAATAGCGTCCATTTAAATCAATATATCGCTACATCCGATGGAACCACTGAGAAAAGCACTTTGCCCACTCGTCCATAAGGGTCTCTTCGATGGCATTTTGAAACGCAGCCACTGCTTCCTCGGCATCCATAAAACGTTTTACTCAAAGTTCTTCTTTTATTTTCGGAAATAAATAAAAATCGCAAGATCGAGGCTATAGTGCGGGTGACCCAGTAATTCCACATCTGATGTCGCAAAGAAGTCGATTGTTTGCTTGGTAGTGTGCGATGAGGCATTGTCGTAGTGAAGGAGGATCCTACTGCGAGGTCGTTTTATCCCGAACTTTTTCCAAGACAGATAGCAAACAATTGTTAGTGAACCACTCTGCGGTAACTGTTTTTCGATCCTCTAAAACAATTGTTGCGTAATGACTTGTTCTCCCGAACCATCTTCTTTCGCACGCTTCGACCTCTCTTCGCTTTAGTTGGAAACTCCTCGGAAGGAAACACCCGGACAGCAGACTGTCTATTAGTTTCAGGATCATATCAATAAATCCAGCTTTCGTCACCAGTAAGTATGTCGAACACAGCTTTTAGTCACCTCCGTTAAATCTTCGAACCATTTCACGCCACCAATCAACACGACGGAGTTTTTGGGCCTCAAATTCAAATTCAAATAATGAGGTATCCACGGAGCACAAAGCTTCTTGACCGCAAATGTTCATGGAGGATTTTGTGCACTTAACTCATACCGAAGCCTAAGCTTGTCCGAATCTGATGATAAGTCACTCTTTTGTCAGTTTCTATCAAACGCCGCACAATACTGACGTTATATTCAGTCGTCGCCGTAGAATTCTGTCACTCACGCAGTTCATCGGTGAGATTAGTGCGACCACGTTTAAACTCACTAAACCAGTTGTAAACAGTGGCACGAGATAGGGCTTCATCGTAAAAGGCCAATCAAAGTCTATCATAACTATCTTGTTGACTTAAATGTCATCGAAAGTCATAAAAAGTCATTGTACGAAAATTTTCGCGTTAAATTCATGCTGACCTGACACAGACAATTTTCAATTTACCGTCAAATCGTAAACAAATGACAAATTAATAAAATACATACACTATAATATTGGCTAAGAGTTCCATTTTCAAAATTTGATTTATTTTTTTATTATGTCGTTTACAAGAGGCCAGTTCTAAAAACTGTAAGTGTCGCCCTCGTAGGGTACATATTTGCCATAGTTACCAGGTTAGCAGGTGATAAGGCAGCCGCATTTTTTTATAAAAAAAAAACGGTGAAAAAGAATAAACGGTCCCTCTGACGTTAAGTGGATGTTGTGGTCCATAGAGGTCTACATCTATCCTCGATTAAGACACAAAATGCAGATAGAGACGATGTTCTCTGTAATTTTTTTTTTCATTTTACCACTTGTTACTTTGTGATAGTTAGGAACGTAAATTCATACACATAATATATTATACTTTATAAATTCTGGGTAAATCTACTTCATACCGCAGAACACTGTTCCGTAGATAAAATTAAAGGTCAAATATAGGTATAGAATACAAAGCTTTATCAAATGACTCGTTAAACGTGTCTCTTAAATTCCCTCGCATCACAGACTACATTTTAATTTTAATTTGCATATTATTTAACAGACTCCATTGGATCGAGAAATTTTGATCCGGTCTACGGTTTAGCATTAATTACGAACGCTAATATTTTGTTATTTTCATATTTTAATTGAATATCGGCGCTTAATTCTGTGTTTATCATTATTTTATCGTTGCTATAGCATTTTACTACATGCTATTTAGTGGTATCTGATGTTTCAGTGGACATTTTAATTAACTCCGATTGTTTTTATAAAATTGAAGTGATAAAGGATAAACTACCAGTCCAGCTGACGGTAAGTGTCTATTGCAGTCCATAAACACCTGCAACTAACTTCAAACAAAGAAGGCTATTGATGTTTTGTCACCTCTGAGGACTAAGACGAGACGTAACGACTCACAGCTTGAAATTTTGCTCGCTCTCTTTATCCATCAGACCGAAATAGCACCGTACTCACTGCTGCTCTGCGGCAGAAAGAGATACGAGGATGATTTCCACCCAGACGGACTCCCAGGTACAAAAGGATTCCCACCATCTAGTGATTGTTACTCACCTTTCAAAAGATTTCTCGTTATCATGATACTCATTAAAAATCATGAATAACCTTAAGGTGTTGCTTCCTAGTCAATCCCCTAACTCCCCCTTAAATTATGTAAGACTATTACCCAAATACTCAAACGCTGTTCAATATTAAGATGCCGTATGTTTCGTGGTGTCTCTATCACTTTAAATCAAAGTGCTTGTAATACCACGAGAAATAACGTCATCTTAAGATTAGATTTTCCGTTTGATAGGAGAACATGAATTTTTGTATGTAATAAAAATTCGAATTTTCATGAAATATATTTTTATTAGTAATGATAACTTTCATTAGTCGACATAAGATATTGATGAACTGTAATAGACGTGTAATACATCTCTTGAAGCTAACGGAAATAAAGTTCCTTAATGATCTCTAGTGACAGTGTTATTACTGTGTTTCGAATAAACGCGTAGTGACGGTGTAAAAATATAAACTACCCCAAATCATCCCCCGTAGGTATCGTAAGAGTTGCCACAGGTAAACAAACCAATGATGAGCTGCATTACTTAGTGTAAATTGAACAAAAGGAAAACGGTATGAAGCAGTCTGTGGGGGAGGCTTACGTTCAGCAGCTGATTTTTATTGGCTGTAATGAAATGAATGGATTGATGCAATTAGCTCTAGAAATACAAAACAAATCAACACTAACATGGCAATGGACGTCGAGAAAATAGCTTGCTAAATCCGACTAAAAGAGGCGGAGAGGACAGTGGGCATTGTAATTAGCACTCGACCGCGTCATTAATATCTACATACGTGAAGTCGCTCGTAATTAATTAAATTTGCACTTTGTTTACATGAATCAAAGTTTACGCGGATTCCAGATGTGGAGGATAATGCACCTTCCCTGTTGGATCTTCTGCTGACCTCTCACCCGGACGGATATCAGATTTCCGTCGAAGCCCCTTTAGGCTCCTCGGACCATTGTCTTGTCCGGAGTGAGGTGCCACTCACGCTGAAATCGCAGTTGCATTCTGTAGGCTAACGTCGTGTTTGGCACTATAGGTCAGCCGATTGGGATGGGATGCGGTCTTTCTTTGCATCCTACCCCTGGGGGCGGGTTTGCTTCTTGCCGGACGATCCCAACGTTGTTGCGGATTCTGTCGCTGATGTGGTACCTCAGGGTATGGAACTTTTTATTCCTTTCTCTGTAGTGCCCATTGGAGGCAAATCTCAGCCATGGTTTGGTCGCTCCTGTAAAATAGCATCATGCTATAAGCAGGAGTGCTACCGAGCCTGGACTGACGCATCAGAGTCCCGGGATGTAAACACCAGCGCTATAAAAAAGAAGTATAATTCCGCCTCTAGGTCCTTCAAAAGAGTCATTGCTAAGGCAAAGTCAGAGCACATAGGCAGAATTGGCGAGAAACTAGTTCGCCTTCCTTCTGGAACTCGTGCATTCTGGTCTCTCGCCAAGGCTGTCCAGGGGAATTTCTGTCAGCCATCTCTTCCATCTCTGCACAGGGAGGACGACTCACTGGCCCATACCGCAATGGAGAAAGCCGATCTTCTGGGCTCTTTCTTTGCGTCCAACTCGACTCTCGATGACGGGGGTAGTACGCCGCCGACCATCCCGCGGTGTGAGTGCTCCATGCCGGAAGTGCAGTTCACACAGCGCTCGGTTCGCAAAGCACTCCTCTCCCTGGACATCCACAAGTCGAGTAGGCCTAACGGAATCCCCCCAATTGTGCTGAGGACGTGTGCTCCAGAGTTGGCACCGGTTTTAACGCGTCTTTTCCGGTGCTCCTACTCCCTAGGCGTAGTCCCAAAATCATGGAAGACGGCTTTCGTCCACCCGATCCCTAAAAAAGGCGACTGCTCAGACTCGTCCAACTACCGGCCTATCCCCCTTGTTCTCCAAAACAATGGAGTCCATTGTAAACTGACAGCTCATGAGTACCGGATCACCAGCTGATTAGTGACCGCCAATACGGTTTTCGCCGTGGTCGGTCAGCTGGTGATCTTCTGGTCTACCTAACTCACAGATGGGCGGAGGCAGTAGAGCGCAAGGGGTAGGCATTGGCCGTTAGTTTGGACATTGCGAAGGCCTTCGATCGGGTTTGGCACAAAGCGCTTCTTTCGAAGCTCCCTTCCTATGAGCTTCCCGAGAAATTGTGCGATTGGATCACCAGCTTTCCGCTCACTGCTAAAAAGAACCCCTTTGTCGTATCTCCTCAATTTCAAGGCACTACCCTTGTTGCCTCAGCCAGTATCGGAATCCTCGGCGTCGACATATCGAGTGACGTGCAGTTTCGTGGTCACTTGGAAGAGAAGGCCAAATTGGCCTCTAAAAAGCTTGGAGACTCAGCAGAGCGGGACAGTATTTCATGCCGGCACACCGCCTGCAACTTTACAAGGCGCAGGTTCGGCCGCACATGGAATACTGTTTACATCTCTGGGCTGGGGCTCTCCAGTACTAGCTCCTTCTACTTGACCGCATCCAGCGCAGAGCGGCTTGAATCGTCGACGACCGAGTGCTTTCCGATCGGCTCGATTCACTGGCACTGCGAAAAAGATGTTGAATCTCTTTGCACTTTATTTCGCATATACCATGGAGAGTGCTCTGAGGAATTGTTCGGCATCCCGATACCATCCATACCATCTGGATGCTTGGCGGTCCACCACAGTACGTTTCAAAAGGAGTTTTCTTCCGCGTACAACCTCTCTGTGGAATAGTTTACCACCGGCGATTTTTCCGGACCGATACGACCTGGGGACCTTCAAGAAAAGAGCTTACTCCTTTCTAAAGGGCCGGCAACGCACCTGCAATTCCCTTGGTGTTGCGGTTGATCATGGGCGGCGGTAGTCACTTAACATCAGGTGAGCCGCATGCTCGTTTGCCCCCTCTTCTATAAAAAAAAAAGTTTTCTTTTGCTTTTCAAGTTTTCTACAAGCGTGTGTTTTGTTTACAAATTTGATTTTCTTTTATTTTGAAAAACTTTTACACGTTCTATTAATTTATTGGCTAAAGTAAAATGAATACTTTCGATTGGTATAATTTGGAGTAATTCTATTGTCGTTCATGTAAATCATGGGATAAGAGATTTATAGAATAAGAGTGTAAAATGGGTACTTACCACAGCCCACCAGATGTTCATGAGCGAAGGTGATTTAGTAGTGAAATTTTATTCAATATTGATTATATTTTTTAAGTCATATTTTACTTTCACCACTGGTTCGGAAAACACCTATGTTCTGGGAAGAACCAGCAAGAATTTTAGCGTGACTTTAAAAAAAAGCATAACTTACAACATAATATTTATAAACCTGTTATGAAAACATTTAGAAACAGCATGGTAGCGACCACCTCATTCCCAGGGATTATTATCAATCATCTTTAGCAGTATAATAACCCTTACCTACTAGTTTGGCTTATTTTAAACCTTTTAATAGATATGTTTTGAATATTTTCGGTGACTTGTAAAAGCGTTTACATTGCCCCATGAAGGTATTACACCGTAGAAAATATAACTTGTGCTTGTTCCTAGTATTTACAGAGTGCACGTCTGCACTATTTTTAGTAAAACTATTTTATTAAAATTATTTTACATATGCTGTATTAGGATTCATTCCCATGGAGGGGTATATCATACAACTATTAGAAATATACCAAAAAGCCATCTTAGTTTTTAGAAATAAAACTAATTTTAGATATACTATGTAGAAATGTATTTCTAAAATCAACGTTAAAAAGGGTTTTAGTGTTAGGAGTGATTACGTCAAACACCCGTCAGGAGTATGTCGCCGCAGAAAAAGCCAAAACAACAAGAATACGAAAAGGGAAAAGGTTATATTAGCCACTGAGGTAATATTTGTACTACGTACTAGAAGAGACAAAACCTGAGTTGATTGTTTGCAACACGCGTTAAAAGGTTTTTTATAGAATAAGGTGACAAACGAGTCCGCCACATACAACAGATTAAGTTGATGCTGTTGCGCATAGACATTTATCCTCAATTAAGAATCAAAATGCAAATGCGTTGTCACCCCTGAGGACCAAAATGGAATGTCTCGATTCTAGTCAAAAGGATTTTGTACACTCACTATACGAAACACAGCAGCATAAAGCATTTATTTTACGCTGGTATTGTGAAAGTGTGGTCCTTCCCCGGTCGAACCGACCCATTCGAGCTACAACTATAATATAGCTGCAGCATGGCTCTACCACGTGACTCTATGCTATTGAAGAGAAGCCGAGACATGGTTGCTTGCAACACGCGTTAGGGCCCACGCGCTTAAATTTATTGAGTATATGCCATGAAAAGTTAGGTACTTTGTGCGCCGCGGCGGAGTAGTGAAAGGATTTTGCTACCTAACTTATGTTTATTATTCGTATTCGTATTTCATTACAGTCACCATAAGAATAATATCGTATTCTATTTTATCCTTGGAATAGAAAAACATTTATTTAACAAACACAATAAAGGATAATAAAATAAAAGCAAAATAATAAGTGCGCCTCCAGGTGTACCGACACTATCTTTGCGAACAGACTGTACAAGCCACTCGGTAAAAGTATTATTTCACACGCAAAAATATCTTGGTAAATTGTTATTAAAGTTAGTTACAATGTTATTGTTTTAACATAAACATCCAAGTAACTTCAAGGTAAGAACCGAACCTTTTAAAAGATTTCTCAGGTGCAAGAACTGAGCGCTTGTTTTCGATTCAGGGAACCCGGTAATGTGCGCTGGAAGGGACAAACAAACATATAAATATAGATACATAATATAACAGACTAATGTTGAGGAGAAGATTGGTGATTAAAGGTTTAAGAGTTATAAAGTTAATAGCTAATTACCGTAGAATGATGTAATTGAATACATCGTCCCTTAGGTAAATTTAAACGTCTTATGTATGACAAAATTAATAACAAAAATTCTCGCATATTTTAAAAATCATTGTATTAAACTAAATTTTATTATGCTTTTTACGACGTTTAGCACATGAGAAATGCGCCTATAAAAATTTTCAATCAATTTCTTCCCTTAAAAC